CATACCGACATAACTATTACAGTGTCTCGGTAATCCGTCCATGACATCCTAGGAGAGAGAATTACGGAACATTTCATTTATCATTCTGCCGAAGTATAGTGTGAACACTCTACTGCACTCAGTAGCCATTTAAATCGCAACGCATTCTAAAACGTTTGTATTTAGTTATGACTTCTCATTGTTTAGTAATAAACACAGAAGCTTCCCAATCCAGGGTGAAGCTGGATGCCACCATGTCGATTTATGATCCAATACAATTTCCCTTTGCTATTTCTGATCTTAAAATGTAAGGGAAATCTCTACAATGCATAGTACAGAATATAATATATACGAATCTGAAAATATAGTCTACCTCTTACATGAACTTTTTTGCTCTTCCTACATACAGACAAAAACGTCCACTTGTAAATTTTAGACATGCCAGTGTAAGTTTGCTATTGTGTTCCAGTGAGCATTTCTATAGGTTGGTATGATTACAGAGTTAACTTGGTAATAAACTTTGGCTCATAGAATCATACTGTTATGGTTACTATTGGACCTGTATCATACCGCTTTAATTTTGCTGGGTTAATTTCTGTAGAAAAGTCACATATATTAAAGAATTCAAAACTTTCTTCTGAGACATTCTTGTCATTATTTTTGAAAATGATTCTGAGACATGCTGTAGAAATTTTGTATATGGGTGATTCATGAAAGCTATCTGTACAAATTCTGGTGTATCTTGTGTTCAGGCAGTAACTTTGCATGTTATAAATTTTAATTGCATAATCAATAGTTTATACACATTTAAGAGGAGAAATGTTTATATTTTGAACTGACCAAGTTATCAGCAGTGTAGCAATTTCATGACATGCAGAATCACAGTTAGATGTCACAGGGGGATGATGTGTGTGCTCTACTCTCCTGAGGTCAACCACTGCTCACTTCCATGTCTTGCCCCTTGATGACCCTGACAGAGTTTCTAGTGGCACTGGTGTCGATCCCAAGTCATGGAGACAATCGGCTGTGAGGCTTTATCTGTATGGTCTGGGATGACTGGAGATTCTCCCTTTGTGTTTTCGGGAATAAAATTAAACAACTGCCTTCTCGTTTGCATTTTTAAAAGGTTAATTTTTTTATATAACATTTTTAGTGACATCTTTAGAAACTTGTGAATTGGTGTTTAAAGCCCTTACTGGGGATCTGACATAAAAAAAGATGATTTGTAAGAGACCCTATGAAGCAGAATATGAATTTAGTTTTCCCAAACTTGTGGGAAAGTTTGGACAATTTTTTTATGTTGGCCAATGTTCCTAAACAATTGCTGCCTTTAAAGATATGAAAGCATCATTTTTAATGAATCTCCATACTGGAAAGTTTTTTTTTTTTAAAGTTTCCCATTTGGAGGTTTGGCAAATTTAAAATCATGGAAATAAATTGGAACCAATCCTCTGTTAAAGTGCTGATTATTTTTGCTTGGCCACACTTGGGTGCCAAATGCAGGAATTTTCGAAGACTAATCTTTCCAGGTATGTTGACTACAATGTAAACTATCTCTAGCTAACCCTTAACTTCTAGAATATTTTGTATCTTTTTATCTATTTCCTTAGATGATTTGGGCTGGTAGTCTAAGTGACTAATTATATGTAGAGAAACATAATGGTGGGTGGCCATGCCTCCTGAACATCCACTTAAATTCCTTGCATTTCCAGAGGCAGTCTGAGAACTCAGTCTAAAGATGACCAAGCTCGAAGCAAGTGCTACCCATCCCTCAGACAGCACTTGGAGGTTTGGGTATATAAGCACATTGTAACGACTTGCCACCTTTAAACCTTTTAGCTTCTAATATGTTGCCATGTAGACAGGGCCTGGATAGTAATCTTTCTTAGAGATCTCAATTTCCAGAGAATCCCACAGTGTGGGTGGACTGGAGTCTGAGTTGCTACCCTTTCCAGGCAGGTCGTGTTGTTGCCTTTTTGGGATTCACATGCCAAGCTCCCCAGGTTGACACCTTTGAGGTTAGTGGGTGTATAGTAGTAGAGCTGCACAGGCTGGCTCACTTGGCTAACGAGGTCCTGCTGTCTGCTGCTCTTAACCACTGTACCACTCAGCAAGTCTAAATTTGGCAGGTTTCACAACACGGGCCATGTTTGGAGGGGGTGGGATTTGGCAGAATCAAATTTCTGCTGTCACCACAGCATCTTGGTGTGGAAATTAACATCTGGGCAGGCTTTGGGGAACAGATATTGTAAAGCTTGGCATCAGGGAAGGAGGCACACAGAATGCGGACCACCGTAGTGTTCTATCTCTGGGAACACAGGGGACAACGTAAGATCTTATTTTCTGGGTTTTTGAGTGCCTTTCAGGGCTTCTTGTTGGAGATTCTTTCTTCCAAATCTAAATTACTTAAAACTTTCAAGGACCAAAATGTTTCAAGTATTCGCTGGCATTGCCTCATCTCCCCCAAGAAGGTGTCAAGTGGTGTCTCCCTCTTGTCGGTACTTGTGTTAGATCCTGGGGCCATGGACCCATCATAGTCATTTCCACTCACAATCTGTCAATTGGTGATTGATGAGCATGTGTTCGCCTACAGGTTTTTGCTGTGCAATTTCTTTATGTGTGGTCTCTTAAGCTGATTTCCCTTAGTGTGCCTTGATGTGTCTAGCTACTCTCCAGGGCGGATATGTGATACAGCCAATTATGTATCACATATGTAATAGAGAATCTAAGGCAATTTGAAAAAAGAATGTGATCGGGAAATCCTTAAAGACCATCTTTTTTCTCTCTTTGTAACTTTGAAATTGCCACTGTTACATGAAATTCCCCTCCACGCTCAAATTACTCAAGCTGAGAAAAGTTTCCATAGTCTGGATTACAACTAGTTTCTTCAAATGGAGAAATATCTTTGAACATGGCCACAGAATGTTAAATAACTTTGTTGTTGCAGGCTGTGAAGTCTCTATCATAACTGCATTCATGGCTTCCTCATGTTGATAGAGTCTGAGAAACTGTGCAAAGAACAGCTTCAGCTGGGATGTGTTGTTGGCATTTTATCTAATGGTACTTGAATTTGAATTTTCTAAGACTATGTTACAACACAAAAATATTATTCTTTCCTACTTTCCGACCTATACTCATGAGTTCCGTACAAAGGGGTGAGACTGTATTTGGCATAAAGGCCATCAGTGAAGAGTACTAATGTACCCCTAACTAAACATGATATTAGGGCAAAACGAATTTTCCTAAGTGACTCATATTTTTGTGTTTTTGCATATTTGTGTGTGTGTGTGTGCCTGTTTGCACATGTGTGTGTTTAGATATGTAGCTTCCTGTACATAAGTGCTGTCCCTACTTTCTCATTGCAGTATTAGATTGTTTCCGGAGATAGAGGTATGCCACAAAGTTCAGCTCATTTCTTCAACTTGTGTTCTTGCCAGGAAAACCATAGAAACCATGATCGGCAAACATGCAGAGAGAAGGTGGAGCTGTAGGGGAATAGAGATGTATTAGGTCCTTTCCTGATGGCACAGTGACATTGTTTCTATGCTTAGATAAGATAAATGGAGTGGCCTTACCTGCTCTATTTTGTTATGGCCTTGGGGTCTTCTTAGCTGAAGTCAGAGATCTATGAGGTGACTTGGGGCCAGTAGGAGAAAGTAAGCACCGGACCGGTTTTGAAGATCATGGGAAACTTGTTTTTCTTTCTTATCTAAGTCAACCCTCCCCTGCAAATCCCCAGAACTTTCGCGGTACCAACTTGGAAAGTGTATTACTAAGTAATTAAAGCATATAGCGCATGTAAAAATGATGTGACACAGTGTTTATCTTTCTATCAATCTCTGGTTTCTCCTAGAGGAACTGTGAACCTGAGTTGGATGTTTCTTGTTTACAAACATGACAGGTGTCTACTTTTTAAATAAAATTATTTGTGATTTTAACAGTCTCATACCATCTTAGATGTCACATAAGGTGTGCCTTTAATATATAAATTTGGGAATGTGTGCCATTCTCGTCTTGCTTTCATAAAGAGCTTAACTATCAAACTACTTGTAGGTGTGTGAGACACACTATACTTCACCATGGGCTGCAGAATCCTTATTTATCCTGTTCAACGGTCCATGTGAATTTGATAGTCAGAGCATCAGGTTGTCATCCCTTTGGATTTAGTGCCCTAGAGTGAATGTCAGACAGTATATTTTGGTTTCATGTAGCAGGATGTTCAGCTGATTTTCCTTCTTCCCTCCAGACATTCTGATAAACATGTTCGACAAAATATGAGCCAACTACATTGTAAATTCACATTTTGAACAGTAAAATTCCATTTTAATTTCACGTTACAAAGGACAGGCTCCTCCTTGCCATAGCACTAAGTCAAAGGAAGTGGCCCCTCATGAAATCGGCTGCATTAAGCACAAGACGGCTTCCTTTTAATCTACATTTCAGCGTGACACCAACATCACTATCAGTGTCTTCCTCCTTCCAGAACAGTTTCTGCCTGACAAGAAGTGTCAGCTGAAGGATGTGTGATGGAGGAGAGCACATTAAAAAAACTCACCCCTTCGCCTCTGCATCCCCACAGACAGCCTGGCAGGAAGACACAAATGTCTCTCACCATCGCCATCGTTCCGAGTCCCTGATGCCTAACAGGCTTTGGTGATGGCACTCAGAGTCCTATACCGTGTTGACCTTTCCTAAGACAAGCACACTTAAGACTCTCTGATACCTCTTATCACCTGGTGTTATTTTGTGCATTTCAAACAAAACTGGAAGGAAGAAAGCAGGTGTTTTGAGAGCTTCCGCACACCTGCACTTAGTTGTGTGGCGGGGACGCAGAGCAAGTTCAACTGAAGTCTCACAGGTCTCGGGAGTGGCAATTGTGTGGATGCTGATGTTCATATTGGGTCCAGGTGTATGGCTTGGGAGTAGAGAGGACAGGTGCTCCCAGGACTTGAATAAAATCCCCGGCATCTAGCCAGAGTCCCTGACATTTCACACTGATGTTCCCTCTCTTCTCCTTACAGGGGAACACTTGCGCATCTGTCCTCAGGAATACACCTGCTGTACCACAGAAATGGAAGACAAGTTGAGCCAACAGAGCAAACTCGAGTTTGAAAACCTCGTGGAAGAGACAAGCCATTTCGTGCGTACCACCTTTGTGTCAAGGCACAAGAAATTTGATGGTAGGTGAAGCTTTGTGCCTTTCATTACGTTTCTACTGTGTTTTTATATAAGACGTCTGCTCTACCAGGAGAAGCATTTTATTTTTCTTTAAATAGAGATTTTTGCATTCCCACTAAAACTCATATATTGCTTGTCTGTGTTTAGGAAAGGCATGGGTCTTCCTGGCAGTACAGTATGTCATGGGAATGTCATAGGAAAGAACAATCAAAGTGACCAAGATGATTTGTGGTGTGTTCTGCCTATGAGGTGGCTCAGGACAGTCAGGCTCCTCAGCTCATTATTTGTCTGGTCCTAATTCACGATTTCTGACACTGTAACTTGTCCTCAGGTTTTAATAGGGAAGTTTCATTTGGAAAGTCTGGTTAATTACATTTATTTGGACTACCACATCACTTTTAAGAGGATGAGCTTGTCTCGGGGCAGGGACATGGACTGCTTTATTTTAGCACATTCTGTGCAATAATGTAATACATACACTGTGTGCAATAGTTGCCGTGCATTCACAAAGGGCATGGGTCCTCCTTCCATTTCTAGAGCATAAGAAATTAACATCATTTCCAAGTTTTAATAGACACTTTGTTATGTTAGAAAGCACAGAGTGTGAGGACCATTATCAGCATCATTTCAGCTTGACTTTTCCAATCAAGTCTGCACTTTAACAACAGTTTCAGTAAGGATAGCAGTGAAGAGTATGTTTTTGGATGACGTATGGTTCTTACTGGTCAAAGAAATGCACAAACTGTGCTATGATTCATTATGAACCAGACCTGCAAGGTATGCAAGCCTTCCTTATTCCCCAGTGGACATATTCCCCTGCCCGAGGCCACTAAGGGCATATTCCTTTTCTTCACCCTCTTCAGGCAGAACACCACAGATCCAGTTAGAAAAGTCTTGCCAATGTTTTTATTTCAGTTTTCTCTCCAGTAAGGAAAACAGCCTACTTCACGGTTGCTTCAAACTATTATTATAACACTGTTGGCTCGCAAATTCCCTCTCCCAAGTCATAAAAGGGTGGGTGCGTGGGTATACTCAGGGTGATGTTACATTTTCCATGCTGGCATTGTTACATCTTTTTTCTATGAGGCTGTTCAGTGCCTTCACAGTCTTCCTTGTGTATAACGAACATTATCTGTGGATACAAGTTAAAGTAACTCTTATTTAAATGTGATGCTATGAATGCCTTTCTCTTGAATCTAATGAGAGAGTACTTGGAGGTCGTCCTTGATTGACAGGTTACAAGTCCGGCGGCATTCAGGAGGCTCCGGGTTTAGGTGCCCACAATCTATCATTAAACGTTGAGACATCTTGTCCTTGATTGCAAAGAGCATCTGAGTGTGATCTGCTGCTGTCTGCCTTTCGCTTTGTGTTTGGAAACTAATTCTAATGCATGTACAAAGCTGCCCTCCAAAATGATGCTGGCAACTCTAGACAGAATTCTGAGGCTGGATTGTGCATGTCTCATGAGAAAAGATATTAGATGGTAACTAGTTTTATGAAAGGTTTGCTATTTCTTTTTATAGAGAAGGAAAGCTATTCAACTAGAGAAAGTCAGATACTTCTGGCATTATATCAATTAATCTTATATCTCACTTGTCTTAATTTAAAAGCCCCGCTTTTAAAACAGGTGAGATTCAAATTTTGTTAATGTACTTCAGGATCTGTTGTCAATCAGTGTGACAAGGACATTCATTTTGCAAAGATTGTATCTGACATAGTGGATGATTAACTCTTTAGCGATGCTCTCCTTTGTTGCAGGTATATTAGATTGTCATAGGAGAGAAGTTAAGATATTTTTAGAACAATTTCACCAGATGTATGATCACAACCTGGAAGGGTAGGATTTAGAAAGCTTATACTTGAAAATAAGTATTAAAAGTATTTCTACCCTTCCTTCCATCTATTCAGTCATATGTTTGTATCTTATTAAACCATAAAGGTAACTCTGCTAGTAGACCTTTACAAAAGATGGGACCTTCAGTGAAACTCTGGGCATAGTACACACTAGACCTGTACCTATGCCTCTCAGCCATAACCCAGGACTTTAACCCCCCCTTCACCTGCCCCACCCACTCCCTCTCTCCATCTCTTTTTTAAGAAAAGTCACTCCCCCGAGGCATTTCCTGGTACTCTAAGTGGTTGTAACCACAGAAGAACTGTCTATCGCAGATCAGCTGTGGAATGTTATGTTCTGGTTTTTATTTTCTTCCATAAAAATCAACATTGCTATGAACATCTTACAGCTTAGTTTTAGAGACATTTAATTTGTTGAGTCCTGCTACAGTCTCATTGAAGTCTGGATTCCAAAACCTCCCATTGGAGATTCTGTACATGGTCTACTTTCTCGGAGGTCTAGCCTTTCCGTTTATAGTATACTTGTCTTTGTTAGTTAGAGTTCTCGCTGAGAAAGAAACTACCCCTTGATTTGTGTCTGAGAACATTGATTCCTATGCTCATTAAGGATAGCAGCAAGGCCAAATGCATGTGTTATGTGTGATCCAATCTATTGAACACATAGAGGCTGCCATTAGTCACAGTGCAGGTTAGTCTCGTGTGCCCTCCGTGGTATATTAGAGATGTTTCCTTTCCATTGGGCCATTCCCACCACCACCCAGTGACGGTGATTCTGTTGAAGTTTAAAACTTACCATAACAGTACATACTAGTATGGCTCTATGTTTTTCTCAGTTGTTAATATTCTGGGCAATAGTATTGTGAGTTATTATAAATAGTTATTAAGTAATAGGAATATAGCCATGGATGTATTTCATTCTTCCACAGCTTTCCAAAACATCAAGGTTTTGCTTGTAGTCCCATTAACGTAATATCTGAAAGAAAAGGAATATTTGTTGCCATGTGTAATAAGTTGTATTAGCAGATTATTAAGTTGGGAGATACTTTTCATTAGGGTTAAAAATTAGAAGTAAACTGGGGTCTAGTCATTCCAAAAGCTGCTCTCAACATGCTTTGTCAGTAAGTCTATGTTTCTATTCCTCGCTGTATGTTAAAATTGTACATAGGAACCCCACAAGGGTGCCCGGTATATCCACAACTTTATTCCCTTACTTCTGACCCTTGTCTGCCACACGCCTCAGAAGTTCAACATCGTGCAACAATGTTATGTAAAAATGTCAGCAAGGAAGAAGCCATCCTTGTGTACACACAGTCTAAGTCTTTGCTAATTTTATGCTTCTATAGGACATGGTTATTAGGGTCCCCTTAAGAAGCCTTCTGAGAGGAGCAATGGTCACCAGAGGCGAAGCATGGCCTCAGTCCTCACACTAGGAAATGCTCACTGCAATCATCAGGTGTAAGCTGAAATGCAAAGTCACACACCTGTCAGCTGGCAGAATCAGAATTCTGTCCTGAGCTCAGCGTTCCTTCTTTATATCTCCTGTTACCTCTGCCCCATAATCTAGTCTCCATATGTGCTGACAGTTCATGGTTAACCAACTAGCTATGCCTCTCTCTCCCCTGCCTGTCCTGCCCTGATTATCGTGGTGAGAAAGTAGAAATGATTTTCAGGAGAAAAGAAAAGGAGTTAGAGGTATCTCCCCCCCCCCAAAAAAAAAAAAAAAAAAAAAAAACAAAGAAGGAAAGAAAAAAATTACTCACCTAAATATAGTTCAACTCTCCTAGGAGCTGGGAGCCTCCAGAGTGGAGGTACCTTGCCAAGTTTCCATTAAGGAGGAGGAAACCAAGATTGTAACCTGATACCTAAATCAGCCTTATAAATAGCAGTGTTGTAGGAAATCAATATTTAGTTTATTTGTTTTGAGTAGTCCTTTACTGATGCTTCTTTACCAAAGCAATTGCGATAATTGAGTATTTAGAATCTAGTCACATTTTTGGAATGGTAGAGACAGCATTCAGTTGACAGAAGTTGTTCTAAAGTTTAAAAGATTACAAAAACATTATAGACTGAAGGAAGGTTCTCTTGTGTATCTTTCTTAGCTTAAGTAACAGCCAGATCCTATCATGGTGTAGGTAGTTGAACCCCTTCACTAGAAGGTCTGTGGAGCACAGATTATTCAGAAACAGAATATTTTTCTTTAATCGATGTACTTTTCCTTTGTATTTTTTCAACCTGAAATTTAATTAAAATTTGGGATTTCTATGAAGTTTTTCTCTTGTTGTTTAATGTTTTTTCTTGATCTTATTATTGAACCGTTTGTCCTAATTATTATTTATGGATCTTAATGATATACATTTGTCCAGCTTATTGGCACCAAGCTCATATTTTAAAAGCAAACAAAAGAATAAAGATTTTAGTTCCTCTACAGAACAAGTTCCATAGTAACACCCTCAGAATACCCATTGCAGTGAAAGTAGAAATTATGTACTGGGACGTGCAAGTCTACTCATACTTTCTTTTAAAATACCATTTCTCATCTGTATACTATTGAGATGACAATAATGTAATGACTTCTGTAAAATATTGTCTAATTATCTCAGAGAATGCACTTACATGGAAGATAAAGAAAAAACAGACGAATTTTCCATATGGTGATAGACGCTTCCATATTTTATGTCACATGGTTCATATCATATGTGTGTCTGAGAACATGTGTGTATAGTTTCAATTTGAAATGCCTTCTGTACAGTTTGGTAACTGTCAGGTAAGTGAATGTTTTCAGAAAGATGGCTAACAATGACTAAAGCATCTTCATTGCCTGCAATAGGCCTTCTTTTGAAAAAGATGTAAACATTTAATTTTCATTAAAAGGAGGTTTGACTGTGCATGATAATGCATACCTGCAATGCCATAGTGGGCATGTAGGAATTCAAGGCCAGCATAAATTATGGAGGACCTTGTGTCAAACACAGAAGGAGAATAAAAGCCCAGAATTGACCTGTATCCTCGAGAAGATGACTTTTGGATGTGGACAAACCAGTAAGTCATTCTCTTAGAGATAACAGGGAAGACTTCTTGAAAGAGATTATTATCAATACCCTTAAATAATGGAGGGAGAACGGCTTACAGTAATCAATGGGGTGAATGA